GATTGTGGGGGACACTGCTGCCCCCCAATGATGTTTTACATTTCTGGTTATTCCCAACGTCGGAGGTTCTGATCTGCTGGTCTTGTGATGAGCAAATGGTATTTCTGCAGAATTGCCTCTCTATGGGTTGAATCTGGCCCTTTTTTTGGCGGGGGTGTTTGATGATGAGGGTCTCAATTTACCCTCCTTCCTTCCAAAACACGCCCCCCCCCACAGCCCGAACCCAGAAGCATCCCTCCTCCGCCGCTTCCTAACACTTGTCTCCATTTTAAGAAGAACAATGCCGCCGCCACTGGTTACCGTGGCAACTGGTTGACAGTCCGGCTTAGTTTAAAAACCGCAATCCGTCCAGCTGGTTCGCCGGCGTGGAGTTCCTGTCCGTCCCCTGCCCACCTGAAGCTGACTCCTGGCGGGCACCCTGGGGTGCAGGGACTGAGATGGCACTAGGCCCCAGGCGGGGGCACCTATGGGGCAGAGCGAGGAGGCTGTCTCTTTCCCCACAGGTCCCCTGGCCGCCATCACTAGGGGCCAAGCCTGTGTCCTGGGGATGATTCAGGCCAAGCAACAGTGTTGTAAACACAAATCTGCCCCTTTCCCCTTATGGGGTATCCAAGAGCCCATATAGAGTCCTTACATAGGTTCCCTATTGGTAGGAGAAAAATAACAGGCCAACCAGAGAATATTGTGAAGCAAAGCAGCTAGTAAGCCTGATCTTTATTAACTGTTGCAACAGGGTCACACGCAGGAAAGGAGGAGGACCTCAAACAAAGGTGTGCCCACCCTTATATAGACATTTTTAAATTGCCCACCCTGGAGTCCAAGACCACCCCCTGAAACATCATACCTACATCACAGAAGAGGCGGTCTACAACAGAAATCTGAGTGCATTGTTTATCTCCTGTCATTGTTTATCTCCTGCCTGGCAGGTTACCTGTTAATGCTCACTTGATTGGATACCCTGGGGAGCCTGGCCAGTCTTTTGTAATGATAAATACTTAGTTCCTGAGCCAGGTCACAGGCTCACACCCTATTCAAACACAGACATACCCTTAAGACAGGATTTTGTGAAGGAATAGACAACGAGGAGTCTTTTCCATTTTCCTTTGACCTTGCAGAGAAAACATTTGGTCAGTTGGGGACAGTTTGGGAATCAAAAATGGTTCCAGGTCGGTCTTCCTGTGCTGACCTATGTACATGCTTGGTTTGGAAATTACAAGGGGGAGGAAATTGCAGAAGGAAAAGAGACGAGGACAAGAGCTCTGGTCAGCATCAGCGCAGACACGGAACACAAACGCCACATGAATTAGCGTTGTGCTTTCACAAATAAATGCTTCAGAAACGAAAATGGTAATTAATGCGCAGCAGATCGAGCCAAAATGTTAATCTCCGTTCCCTTGCTTTCTTATCGCGCGCAGAGATATGATAAGAAGGAAATAAGATAAAAAAGAAGAAGAACAGGGGAGCATCGTGGGTTATTGATTGCATTTCCATGCGATCCATGTTATAGCAGAAGGCATCTCTTTCTCAACCGAAAGCAGCCAAGTTCTGCTTGCCCCCAAAGCTGGGTCAGAACTGGTGTGGTTGTTGTTTCGTCGTTTAGTCGTGTCGCCTCTTCGTGACCCCCTGGACCACAGCACGCCAGGCCCTCCTGTCTTCCACTGCCTCCTGCAGTTTGGTCAAACTCATGCTGGCAGCTTCGAGAACACTGTCCCACCATCTCGTCCTCTGTCGTCCCCTTCTCCTTGTGCCCTCCATCTTTCCCAACATCAGGGTCTTTTCCAGGGAGTCTTCTCTTCTCATGAGGGGGCCAAAGTCTTGGAGCCTCAGCTTCAGGATCTGTCCTTCCAGTGAGCACTCAGGGCTGATTTCCTTCAGAATGTAGAGGTCTGATCTTCTTGCAGTCCATGGAACTCTCAAGAGTCTCCTCCAGCTCCATAATTCAAAAGCATCCATTCTTCGGCGATCAGCCTTGCCGTGGCGAAGGGGCTTGAATAACTCAGAGAAGCTATGAACTATGCTGTGCAGGGCCACCCAAGATGGACAGGTCATAGTGGAGAGTTTTGACCAAATGTGATCCACCTGGAGGAGGAACCAGCAAGCCACTCCAGTATCCCTGCCAAGAAAACTCCATGGACAAAGACAACAGCCAAGTCCTGCTTCCCCCAAAGCTGGGTCAGAAATGGTATCGCTCCTTAATATCCCTATGGGTTTTGGGGGGAAATAGGGGGGAATGTCCCAAAAATGATGATCAAACTATTTATGTACGCAACAACAGCAGCCAGAATCATATACGCGCAGAAATGGGAGGAAGGAGAAATTGCAACCGAGGAAGAATGGATCTTAAAATTAATGGACTACGGGGGAAATGGGGAAAAAGCTTTTTATTGAAGAAGGGAAACCCCCTTTGGACTAGCTGTCGAAGAACTGTAGCCAAAGGAAGCTCTGAGCAGGATTCAAAATTTAAGCAAGGGAAACGACAACAATTGTAATAGAGGAAATGCAGTAGGTATGAGATTTATGTATGATACATAAGACAGCAGAAAGGAAGGGAGGGAAAGCAGGTATGGAAGACAAACTGTTAAGGGAAATATGTATTAAAGTTGAAGTTGGATTTGCTAAAATTTCTGAAATCTAATGAAAGTTCAATATAATAAAAAGAAAAGAGAACTGGTATCCCTCCCCAAAGCATCATTTTCTTGCTGAAAAATGGTCTCTCCAAGACCAACCCACCCCAATTCCCCCAAAGGTGCTGTTTACTGCATGGAAAACTTGCAATAACGGCATGGCAAGGGGTGAGTCTGCCAATTTGGGTTTCTCGTTTCCCCAGTATTTCTCCCCATTTCCACATCTCTTTGCGGATCTTCTAAAGTCCTCATGAAAACGCCGCCTGCAGATCGATGCAAATTTCCCCCAGCGCCCAAATTTCTGTATGCGGTTTTGCCAAGGAGATGGACTCTTCTTCAGGGTCAGGTTTAAGGTGCTGGTTTTGACCTTTAAAGCCCTATATGGCCTAGGACCCTCGTACGTATGGGACCGCCTCTCCTGGTATGCCCTGCGGAGGACCTTACGGTCCGCAAATAATATCTTGGAGGTCCCGGGCCCCAAGAAGGTTAAACTGGCATCAACCAGGGGCAGGGCCTTTTCGGCTTTGGCCCCAGCCTGGTGGAATGCTCTTATCGCAGGAGACCAGGGCCCTGTGGGACTTGACATCCTTCCATAGGGCCGGCAAGATGGAGCTATTCTGCCTGGCTTTCGGTCCTGGCCCAGTTTGACCCCCCTCTATGGGACTCTGTAAGTTATCTCTTTGGCCCTTTTATCGGCTCATATGGGACCAACATGTGTAAAGGGACCTGGGTGGTGCTGTGGGTTAAACCACAGAGCCTAGGACTTGCCGATCAAAAGGTTGGCAGTTCGAATCCCCACGACAGGGTGAGCTCCCATTGCTCGGTCCCTGCTCCTTGAAAGCAGTTCGAAAGCACATCAAAGTGCAAGTAGATAAATAGGTACCACTCCGGCGGGAAGGTAAACGGCGTTTCCGTGCGCTGCTCTGGTTCGCCAGAAGCGGCTTAGTCATGCTGGCCACATGACCCGGAAGCTGTACGCCGGCTCCCTCGGCCAGTAAAGCAAGATGAGCGCTGCAACCCCAGAGTTGGTCACGACTGGACCTAATGGTCAGGGACCAACATGGATAGCTTTATGGGACCAACATGGATAGCTCGCCCTGATGAATACTTGAGGTTCCCGGCCCCCATGGTTGTAATCCATGGGCAGTCATTTAATTTTATCCTGATTCTAATTTTTAAGCTGTATTTTAAACAATTGTTTGATTGTGTTTTAATGTATTTGATATTTGATGTTAGCTGCCCTTAGCCCGGTCTTGGCCAGGGAAGGCGGGGTATAAATAAAAATTTACTTACTTCTTGTGTTCTTATGGAACCTCCAGCTTCAGAGACAGTCTATCCCAACTCCTCGATTCTATTGGCTGCTGCAAGAATAGGATGCCAGGCTAGAGGTTTACAGGACGAACTGTAAACAGGCATCCCAGAATCCTACCTGAATTGCTGGCTAGCTGCCCTGACAGGTCATGCAGGTGAGGGGCTTGAGACCGGTTGTGAATTACATAGGTCTAGAGGGAAAACACTCTGCACATGCTCAGATGCCCAGTGGCCCAGGAAAGCAATGCTTGCTGAGTCCTGGCTCAGAGTAAGAGCCTGTTCCCCAGCAAGGAGAGGGGGTGTGTGGAAAGGACTGTTTTCACACCGAGAGCAGAGGAAAAACACACATTTTTTTCTGGGTCAGGGTCTCCACAAGAGCTAGGAAGTGGAGTACCAATTTAGTGTAAATCAGAGAGACCTTCAGCTGACTTTGCAAGGCAAGAGTCGGCGTGACTCACACAAACCTTGTCCTAGACCTGATTCCAGCCTTTGTGACAGACAGGCCTCAGAGATTTCTGTTGTCAGACAATGCCGCCCGCCCCCTCCAAGAAAAACCCAGTCCAAGTGTGAGACTGAGCCCAGTGGGGATCGGTTTCAGCTTATTCGCTGCTCCCTGATGGTGGCTTGGAGCCATGCGCAGAGTGCCAGAACTAGGCCAGGTATTCTATGTCGTTCACAGCTTCGCAAGGACGCAGCTGTCACTCCCCAACCTCTCCTCGGATAAAGATACGGAGCTGGAAATATCTACCCCCAAGGTCTCGCAGCTCTTAAATCGGGGTAGTTGAAGGTCTTGAGGGAAGCGAGGGGCAGCAGCTGGTGGAGGCAAAGGAAAATCTAGGGCAGAGACGTGAGCTCAAGCCATAGGGCCTGCAGTTCAGCTTCAAGCCACCCTCGCAGAAGGCAGAGGTTGGGAAAAGTCCAGGAAAGGGTAACCAGGAGGAAATGGAACAACTCCCCTCCAAGGAAAGAGTTTTGGGTGCATAGTTAGACTGTGGAACTCACTGCCACAGTAGGTAGTGGTGGTCAGCAACTTGGATGGCTTTAGATGAGGGTTATTATTATTACTAATAGCTCAGCTGCTAGAGCACGAGTCTCTCAATCTCAGGGTTGTGGGTTTGAGCCCCACACCGGACAAAAAGATTCCTGCTTTGCAGGGGGTTGGACTAGATGACCCTCGTGGTGTCTCCCAGCTCTAAACTTCTGTGATTCTGATACTTTATGTTTTGTACCCCCACCCATCTGACTGGGTTGGCCAGCCGCTCTTTGGGCAGCTTCCAACCGAACGTAGGAAAGCATAACAAAACAGCAAAGAGTAAAAGCTTCCCATTACAGGCAAATTAGGTGGGAGTGGTCCTGTGTTCGAGTCCTGCATGTGGGCTTCCCATCTGGCTGGACTGGCTGGGCCACTGGCCTGATCCTGCAGGCTTGTGATGGCCTGGGAATCGGATTCAGAGGCTGAACCTGAGGAATCCCAGCCTGCACAGGAGTCCCCGCCTCCAGAACCAGCTGAGCCGGGGCATGAGTCTGAAGGGTCCTCACCTGTGCCGGATCCTCAGGAGCAGACACCAGCTGAATCCGCTCTGGCTCCGGAGGTGATGGAGGACCCATTGCCTGCAGGTGCTCCACTCTCAGCCCCGTCAGGGGAAGCTGAGGTTGCCTCTGGGTCCGGGAACCCTCCAGCCTCTCCTGAGCTGCAGAGGCTCAGGGCAGAGCGGCGGAGGGAACTAAGTTCTCGCAGGAGGAGTGCTCGCCTTAAGGCCAGGAGAGGCGAGTCACCTGAGGATCGGGGCCGCCCTATGCCTCGGGGCAGATAAAAGCCATCCAGCCCAGTCCCAGGTTGCGGGAGCAACATCGTTGGCAACCTGTCCCTGCCGGCACCCTGTCCTGCTTTCTGCCAGAGTTCCTGACCACGCCCGACTCCTTGCCTTGGACCCCGCTTCAGCCTTGGGCCGGACACGGACCACGCTGCACAGTAACCCCGCTGGGACCAGCACAAGGCTCTTCTCACTTTCTTATTTCCCTAAGCTGCCTTGCAGAGGCCTGGCGAAACAGGACCTCGGAGAGCTCCGAGCGAGTCTTGCCCTGTTGTTGCTCTCTCCTGCCGAAGCAGGTGGAAGAGGAAGTTGTCCCAGCGGGGAGCAGAAGGCAGCTGAAGGCTGATGCAGGCTGACAAACCCTGCAGCTCAGCAGCCCCCTGGGAGGATTTTGCCAAGTTGTGAAAAGGGCTCTGGCGTGATTTTGCAGACCTTGGCTTCTGTGAGGTTGGTAGATGGAGGTTCTTTCAGGGAACTCATCCTCTGAGCCAAAGAAAAAAGGAGTGGGGGACAGGGGTCAAAGCTGTGTCTTCCGTCTGCGAGGGCCAGGAGTCACAAAGGCCAAATTTGGATTTGTTGCAGTTTAGTCTAGTTTAATGGCACACGCCTAAATTGTTGGACCTGGACCACTGCACATGGGTTGTCATATTCCAGTGGGCATCAATTAATAAATAATAATAATAATAATAATAATAATAATAAATAATTTTTATTTATACCCTTCCCTTCCCAGTTCAGAAGACCAGGCTCAGGGCTGCTAACAACCAATTTAAAACAATTGATGGAACGAAAAACAGCATAAAATACAGTATAAAACATGAATAACCATAAATTCAGAATTCAAAAATCAATTTAGGGGGGAAATCCATCTAATTGCAGCTGTGGTGGAGCAAAGACCAAAGGCCTGCATTGTAGCTCCTTTGCCCAACTGCCTTGTCTTAGAAGAGAATCCAATAGAGTTGGAAGGGACCACGAGGGTCATCTAGTCCAACCCACTTTTGCCCAGCGTGGAGCTCAAATCCATGACCCTGAAATTAAGAGTCTTGTGCTGTACCAACTGAGATCGTATCACATAAGAACATAAGGACGGAGCCTGCTGGATAATAATAATAATAATAATAATAATAATAATAATAATAGTTTATTATTTATACCCCGCCCATTTGGCTGGGTTTCCGCAGCCACTCTGGGCGGCTTCCCACAGAATATTAAAATACAATAGTCTATTAAGCATTAAAAGCTTCCCTAAACAGGGCTGCCTTCAGATGTCTTCTAGAAGTCTGGTAGTTGTTTTTCTCTTCGACATCTGCTGGGAGGGCGTTCCACAGGGCGGGAGTTGCCGGTGAGTTGCTCCATCCTCTGATTATTTTAGATCAGGGGTAGGCAACCTAAGGCCCGGGGCCGGATGTGGCCCAATCGCCTTCTCAATCCGGCCAGCGGACGGTCCGGGAATCAGCGTGTTTTTACATGAGTAGAATGTGTCCTTTTATTTAAAATGCATCTCTGGGTTATTTGAGGGCCATAGGAATCCGTTCATTATTATTTTTTTCAAAATATTGTCTGGCCCCCCACATGGTCTGAGGGACGGTGGACAGGCCCACGGCTGGAAAAGGTTGCTGACCACCCCTGTTTTAGATTATTCATTCTTCGACTCTGCAACATCCTTCTGGAGGTGGGGGAACCAGAACGGTACTCCAAACGCAGCCGCTCCGTCGATTTGTATAAGGATACAGGCTGTTTTATTTTCAATGCCTTCCCTAATGATCCCTAGCATGGAATTTGCCTTTTTCCATGGCCACTGTGCACTGCGTAAGCCACTGCCTCGACACAGACAAATGCTCTCCTTCTCCTCCCTCCCCAAAGAGAGGCTGGGGAAGCCTGTCGCTGACTCATCCCTCCCCTCCATCACTCCCCCCCAGCCCCACTTCTCCCCTCACCCAGAGGGTGTGGCTGTGACAAGGCTGGCGCAAAAGTCAGCAAGAGCCCTAAGTGCTTTGCATGGCGGAAAAGGTCAGCGCAGACAGCGGCAGCAATGCGAGGGGTCCGCGAGGCGCAAGCTGACATTAGCGGAACGGCAGAGAAGGGGCATTTGATGGGGGGGTGAGAAGGGGAGAGAGAGAGAGACCGACACAACTGTTGAGAGGAAGGGGGGAGAGTCTGGCAAGCAGGGGGCCCAGGTGGAGGAAAAGGACTCGGCTGCTTTCAATGCCAATGTGACGCACCCTAGCTTCGGGATTGTATCCAGCGCTAGTCCTGCTCAGAGTAGACCCCCTGGAATTAACCCCGGAAGCTGCCTTCCGCTGAGAACCTTTTGCATCCGTCAGGGATGCTTGAGTTGAGATTCCTGCCTTGCAGGGGGTTGGAATAGATGACCCCAGGGGTCCCCCTCCAGTGCCACAGTTCTCTGATTCTATGTGTGCAAAGTGGCAGAGGTTCTGCCACGGGGCCATGCTCCTTTGCTTAAAAATAAGAGCGCCTAAGAAGAGGGATGCGGGCAGCACTGTGGATTAAACCACTTGCCGATCAGAAGGTCAGCGGTTCAAATCCCTGTGACGGGGTGAGCTCCCGTTGCTCGGTCCCCTGCTCCTGCCAACCTAGCAGTTTGAAAGCATGTAATGTGCAAGTAGATAAATAGGTACCGCTTCGGTGGGAAGGTAAACGGCGTTTCCGTGCACTGCTCTGGTTCGCCAGAAGCGGCTTAGTCATGCTGGCCACATGATCTGGAAGCTGTACGCCGGCTCCCTTGGCCAGTAAAGCGAGATGAGCGCCGCAACCCCAGAGTCGGCCACGACTGGACCTAATGGTCAGGGGTCCCTTTACCTTTAAGAAGAGTGAATTATGGTGCTGGAGGAAACTCTTGAGAGTCCCATGGACTGCAAGAAGATCAAACCTCTCCATTTTGAAGGAAATCAGCCCTGACTGCTCACGAAGGACAGATCCTGAAGCTGAGGCTCCAAGACTCTGGCCACCTCCTGAGAAGAGAAGACTCCCTGGAAAAGACCCTGATGTTGGGAAAGATGGAGGGCACAAGGAGAAGGGGATGACAGAGGACGAGATGGTGGGACAGTGTTCTCCAAGCTACCAGCATGAGTTTGACCAAACTGCGGGAGGCAGTGGAAGACAGGAGTGCCTGGCGTGCTCGGGTCCAGGGGGTCACGAAGAGTCGGACATGACTAAACAACTAAAACAACAACAACAACAACAACAACAACAACAACAACAACAACGAAGAGTAAATTTCTTTCTCCCAATGCCCAACCACCAGCTATTACAAGGTGGTGGTGAATTATCCTTCGTTGGAGGTTTTTAAACAGAAGTGGAAGGGGGCCTTATAATTGCTTTGGCAATAGATGATGCATTGAAATCTCCAGCCTTGGAGGTTTTTCATGTGGGAATGTTCAGGGATGCAGGAGAGGATATATTGTTTGATTCCAACTTGTGTTAACAAGTTCACAATTTAGCAGAGTAACATTCCCCTTTTTTAAACTCACAGCGGATGCGTTTGCTCAGGCTCTCTAAAGCCTCTAGAATAACTGTTCTGGTATTTCCCCCTTATTCCCTCATAAAAGATAAGACACGACACAGTCTTCTATAAAAGTATAAAAAGAGTTTACTCACATTCTGTTCACAATTGGATTCCAGAAGGCAGACTTAGCTTAGAAAAGTAACATACACCTGGAAACTATCTCATAAGGAGACAGTCACTTTGTCTTCTCTTGGCTGGAGGCCAAGAGAGCATCTTTGGCTAAGCAGATGTTACTTCTTTGATGAATGTAGTCAGAGAGAGAGAGATGGCTGCCCTGCCCTGTGCTTTTGTCGTTACCTGCACAGGTGAGGCCACACCCACCTCTAGTCACATGCAGAGGAAGTCTGTCCCAGCCCAGAAGGAAATAGGAAGTTTACCTGCTGGCTGGACAAACATTCCTCCCCATGTGTAAACATGTTCACTCTAGGAAGGTTGTACTTGACTGCTCTTGTGTTTCACATCCCACACTCTCCTCTTCGGTTTCCAGCAACTCATGTTCAGAAGGATAGCTGCCTCCTCTATGAATGAATGAATGAATGAATTTTATTACTATGGTCACAGACCAGTTCCGGCTCACTTACAATACCAGGAAAATCATAAAACACAACAGGAATACATTGAATTGCAATTGGGTATAACGGAGGCAATTCAGATATAGCGGCCGTTAAAAATATATATTAAATCCATCGTTTATTAGAACTTTTAATCCAGATGTATTGTGAGGAGGCTGTGGTGAGGCAGAAAAAGAATTGTGTGTGCTCAAAAGCACCCTCTGCAAATGGGGTGCCCCCTGGCTC